AATTGCATTAAATGCCATTACTATTTTGGTATTATAATATTTTATTTATTTAATTGATTTATTTATTTGTTTTATTTTAAAAAGGTAATTATAATAAAAAGATTTTAATAATAAAAAAATCAAATTCCAAATAAAAATGTACACTTTGACTTATTTGATTATATTTGGTATTTGATTATACCAAATATATTCCTATTTAGTATATACATTAAATACTTACTAAAGTATTTATTTGTTTTATTTGTCAAAGTTAAGTACAGATTTGTTTATATTATCAAATCATAAAACAAATAAATATATCTCGTGCTTCGCACGGGTATTTGAACATTGTACAATTTTCTTGCGTATTATAAACTTTTATTGAATATTGCATCTTATAATATAATATTCTCCAAATAAATATATCTCGTGCTTCGCACGGGTCACGTACTATATATCCCGTACATTTTCTTTATTCATGTATATAATTATAAGCTTGGATAAATAGCCTTAAAATTGTGCACCCCGTGCATCGCACGGGCACTGTACTAGTATATATATAATAAGAATTAACATTTTTTAAAAATAGTAGGTCAAAACCTGGTCAGCATTAATTACATTCCATTTTAAGTAACTTTTTTTATTTTTATTTTTTTAAATCCGGCAGCAATAAATGCTGCCCTTAAAATGTGGCCTTTGTTACTTATTTACTACTCCCTCCTATATTTAATATTTGTCATTCTAGCTTAATTGATCATTTGTAAAATAAACGTCGTTTAGGCCATTTTGTTCATATTTTTTCCTTTTAACCCCTCCATTAATACCCATTGTCTCTTCATATTCCCAAGAACATCCATCCACAATTGTGTCATTAAATAGGGTTAAACTTGGAAAGAAAAATATTTCTTAATTAGTGTGTTGATAGCCAGGATGACAAATATTTAAAATCGGAGGGAGTATTATCTTTACGGAAAATCGGACAACCTTATATATTGGACTTAAAATTGGAATTTGTTACATTATCCAATAAAGTTACTGCTGACTTTAAAATTATTTTTGGAAACATCTTTTTTCACAAAAAATTACGGCTGATTCAATTATATTGTTTGACAACTTTTAATTTTTAATAAAAAAAGAAATTATGAATGATTTAATAATCAGAAATTATATTGTTTGGCAACTTTTAGCTTTTAATCTCTAATAGCTAATGCCATTTAACATTGGTATTAATTAATAAATCACATTTATGTATCTAAAAATATGATTCGTAATATTGGTGTTAATTAATTAATCACATTCACGTACTTCTAAAAATATGATCCGTAAATATGCAATGTTGAGTATAATATGTTGAAAATTAATTAATTAATTACTTAATCACTCGACATGTTGAAAATTTATTTTCCTTTTTGGTTTTAATGGAAATTTTATCAACTTTCCCATAAAATTTGATCGACCTTGAGTATGATATCAATATGCAATGTAACATTTTGTTTCATTTCAAATAATTCTACAATATAAATTATCGCATTGTACATTCATTAATTAATCAATTTATTTTATAAAGTTAGCAAGATTAATAAATCCAATATAAAGTGGACGATTTTATTTGAGGTATTGATGATCATTTTTTATTTGGTAGAGATGTGTTGTAATTAATAAACGTTCAAATTTATGGTATAAAGTGGACAATTTTATTTTGATATGAAATGTCCGAATTTAAATGGTATGAATAGAAGTGTACTTTGAAATTTTGAAAGTGGTATGAATTTTATTTTGTATGGGTATGAAAGCCAAATTGTAGATTGATTTGTTATAAAATCTATGTGATGTGATGCTCAAATTTTACCTTATTCTCATTAGAACTTGCCATAAAATATTAATGATAACTCGGCAAATTGGTATCATCCCATCGCATGCCATTATAAACCTACAGAATCCATCGTATAAATGTGAGGAAACTTGAAAAATATGATCACTTATCTATTGTAACTGATTTTTTAAAAATAATAACTAATAATTTAAAAAAGAAAAACTAATTCACTCTAATGTCTAATTACTAATATAAATCCCTTATGTATGTCTAATTACTAATATAAATTCTTGATTTGTGGTAAGATTTTTTTTAAAGGAAGCTAGAAGCTAATTTTCACTATTAATTACTGATGTTTTTTCAAATATTGTTACCACTTTAAATTTTATGTTCTCCTGTACAAGCTAATTTTTTATGGTGTATAATAAACTAATATAGGGTAGATTATATCACATGCTAACCTCACATGTTTAATTTATAATTATTATTCAATATTGTTTACCCTCATATTTAATTTATAATATTTTTTTTTCTTGCTCTTCTAAAAGAGGATCAATAGTGATTCCTTATTTATAATCAATGATTGATTACTAGTTATATATAGTAGAGATAGAAATTTTAATATTCTATTAATTAATGTCTTTATTTATTTTTGGACATAAATCCATGATAAATAAGATATATATTTAATAACATTATTATTTCTTGTCCACCAAGTCAAATATTAAGACTATGAAAGAGATTATATCAAATCTTAGGATAAAAAAAAGAGATTATATCAAAATCATGAAAGACCAATCAAATTGAAGTTTTCTTCCCAAGACTCTATCTCTTAAATTGATAAATAGGGCTCTCTTCAAAGTCAGAAATTACACATCATACATCAAAATCTCAATTCAAAGAGCTTTCAATAATTCTCTTTATCAATAATTCTCTTCTTGAAGATCCACAACATCCAAGTTAAAGACAGAGAAGAATCAGATGTTCCATATAGAGATTGTACCATTATTCATTTTATCGAAATAAAATCAAGTTGTATTTTTCATAAAATTTGTTGTTACATATACATAGATAAGTTTTATTCTATTTACTGATATATGAATATATTGATAATAAAAAAATGAAATTTAAGTGTGGGGTCTAATTTAGAATTTGTTTCATAATAAACAACAAATAACAACAGAGGTTTTTGGGGAATAGAGATCCCGTTACCAACCAATCATTAGTAGCCATGTCATCATCCTAGTCAGCCAATGCACTGAACCCTGCACCAGTAACACTGAATCGGACCCCATATCCAATAGTATTGCCGCTGCACTCGCAGGTCTGCTGCTGCGCTCTTGGCATTGCCACCCTCTCTCTCCCCTTCCGTATCATTTGCAGATTTTTTTCTCTCTTTTTTTTTTGTTTTAATTTATTTATTTTGGATCTTTTTCAAGGGTCGCCACGATACTACGACGTTTAGGCTTCTTTTGGTACCTTTTGAGCCTTCACCCTCCGTTTTTGTGCTGTGCCGAGAACCAGTCTACAGGGGTTTTTGCTTGTTGCATACGTATGGCAATATTGAGCCTTTTGGTACTTTTTCACCTTTTTCCTCTTCATATATTGTGCCCTTGTGTATTTCCCTTTTCATCTTTGTTTTGGTGAGATGTGTTTTTCATTTTTTTTTTTTATTTATTTATTTATTTATTTTTTTTTCTCATAGTGCGCTGTTTGGCTTTGCTAGTATGTCCATGAAACTGCTATTTTGAAAAGACCATTTTTTCTTGTGTCTTTTTTGTTGATTTTTGCATCTTTCTTTTTTCCTTCGAAGACATGAGCATTTGTGTGCACTGTTCAATCATGCATATGTTGTCTGAGAAGTTGTGTTCATGTGCTTCCTTTTCTTGGTGCCTAAGTTAGAAACATTCCTCTGTAATTCTTCGGTTAGAAATGAATTTTTATGTATGTATAAGCTTTGTCTTAACTGCAGTGTGTCATATTATTATGAGTTGGAGGTTTAGATTCCTATTTTTTATTTTATTATTCATTCCCTTGATCCATCTCATTTCTCAGATCTGTGAGCTTGTTATGGGCTATTGCTGTTTTGTGATAAGACTTTAATGAATGTAGAATGAACTATGGAGGATTAGGGCATTTAGAACAACCAAAGCAAGAATGTGAAATTTTTTGAGCAGAGGGTAAAAAGAAGCTGAAGTTCAATAAAGATTTTTGTTTGTTTTTTGTGACACTATTTGAATTTACAGTTAGTTCCACTGCAAACCAACCTTCATATTGTGTTGAAGCTCTGTCTTATGAATTTTTGTTTACAATGGTTGTTATGTACATACAGTATTTTTTATATGCTATAGTTTATCATGGTTTTGCTGAAGTTCAATTTAATGTTTGCAAAAGTATTATAGGATTAAACACAAACCATGCCTTAGATGAATCCTGATTATACAAACACCCGATTATGTCTCAAAATTAAAAAATACTTTTTCCATTTCTTTATATAAAACAGTTCTCACCCTTTAAGAGGGGGCACTTATTTGGTGTAATACAAACCTCAGTGCTGTCTTTGTAACATTTTCAGGGGTACTTTGTAATTAAACATCTATGAAGTATTTTGTACTGAAGCTCAACTTAATGGGTTGTTTTATCCATGGGCTAGACATGTTTAAGCAGTAGCATTATATATAATGTTGTNTATGTTATATATGGTTGTTTTGTTATGTGGCTAAACATGTTCCTTGAAATTCATTAGTTTTACGAACTTAAGAGAAGTATTATTTGGTATACTGAATATATCGAAGTTTACAAATTTGGGAGCTACTTGAATAATTGTGGAATGTCAAGAAGAAAAAAAATGCTGCTAGCTTTTGAGCCTTCCTGCCAATCAGTGATGCAGGGAGAACTGCATTTCATCATGTGAATGATTTCCACGAGTTTTTAAAGTTCATGCTGTGAAAGTTATTTATGGTAGAAATCTTGTTTCTCATTTGTTCCTATATATGCAAAATAAGTGTTCTCTGGCTTCTCAATCATTTCTGAATGAGGTCTATTTTTCAAAACCCGAAAGGATTCATGAGAATACCTTTTGCTTTTAAGTATGGTTGTCATGACTTTTCTTTCTGTTTTGTTTATATTTATTTATTTATTTATTTATTTTTTACTTCAGGTGTGAAAAACTTGTAAATTGAAGTGCTTCATTCGTTTGTGAAAAACCATGCCTCAAGATCGAGAGAGAGTTGGGAAGGCGTACAATGCAATGAAGAGCTTAGGAATCTCTTCAGAAACTGTACGGCCGGTACTTCGGAGATTATATAAATTGTATGACAAAAAATGGGAGCTTATAGAAGAAGACAATTACCGTACCCTTGCTGATGCTATATTCGAATACGAAGAAGATAAGGTGTCCATTTTTTACCCATTTTTTAATTTTCTGCACTCATGAATTCTTTCTTGATGTTTGCCACTTAGAGGATGCTCTCTGTGTAATTGCATTCCGAACCAACCATCGTCTGTAGCATCTGTTATCTATGCTTGACAACCTATTGTACTAATTTATATGCTCAAATCAAATTGGTATGATGATTTCTTTTATTTGGTTTAGTTCTAGCTGAGGGAGTGTTTGCAAATGCTTGAAAGAATAAGTGTACATCAGATTTTGGTTATTATCTTTGAAGAACCTAAAATGGGAAGAGAACATTTTATGCAACTTATCACAAATCATTTTCCATTTAATTAAACGTTTTAAAATTTCATCTCCTACCAAAACTCGTGATTGTTAACTATTTTTCATGTTTTACTGAAATATCACATATGAAAACATTAGGCTCTGTACAATTACTGTACAATTGTCCTGTTTTACTTACATGTAATGCTTTCCTCCGAATCAACCGATACTTCTAACTCTGTTAAAATTTGTCATTGTTTTTTTCCCTGTGTAGCTAAAGGCTGAAACAAAAACAAAAACAGAAAATTTGAATGAAGATAACATAAGTCCTTCCATCAAAGGCGATCCAGGGGATGAGGTCTCCTCCACGAGTAGAAATGGTAAAAAGAGATTACAACCAGACGAGCATGAAATTCCAAGGTTTTCAGGTGCAGTAAATATGGTAGAGTCCTCTCAGTCGGTCTCGGTTGTTGCTACAAGTAAACCTGTTCTCAATGTGAGTGAAGCACCTAGTGAAAGCAAAGGCATGGATCTTGTTCTGTTAAATTCATGTCACAATGAGGAAAACTCACGTGATCCACGAGCTTCAAGTGCAATAGCAGAAAAGAAGGACAAAGATTGCTCTCCACAATTTGTGGTTCCTGCTTTGCGTACTCAGCCAGGCATGAAGTTCTTATTTTTTTTCTTTATATTTATTATAACCATTTTCCTTTTTAGTCGGCAATGGTTAAATTAGCCTCATTTGTGATGTTGGTCTAACTGTTTAAGGGGTTTCTCTGCCTACTAAGTGAAATGTGTAAACAGATACTTTCTTCCTGCCCTACAAACCATTAAGATCGTTGAGCAGTAGGAGATTTTACTCTCTTAGCAGCGTGTACAAATTATCTTTACTAGACCACAAGACTGAAAAGGGTTCAAGATCTACTCTCATTCTGATCATATGAAGAGCGCAAGTGTATTGGGAACATATCTACTTTCATGGTAGCTAGAAGTAACATAAAATATTTACTGTGGTGGAAGAAAGCAGTTAAAGAATTAAAAAACAATAGATTTTTTTCATGGTAGCTAAAAGTAATTTCAAGAGTGATTTGGCTAGTAAGTTGTAAAATGTGATTTGTGTATATATGAATCTAGAAGCACTATTCTGCTTCATTTTGCATTCGGATTGCATTATGAAGAGTAGACTAACAATTACTTATGTGCTTTATATGCATTCTGCGTCACATTCCCTTTTGCAACTTTTAATGGAGATAGAACTTCTTCTCCTACAATTTGATAAAAACGGTTGGCTTGAGAGGTGTTTATACATTGAGGTAGATAAATGTTTGTAAAATCATCTACAGCAATCTGTTTCATCATTACTGGCATATCTCACGAAAACTCATCTTCCGCCAATCATGTATTTTCATCTTTTCAGATTCAAACATCACTTCACAGGACTCAGACTCCAGAAAGAAGCAAATTGGCTCCAGTTTGGCATTCAATCTTCAAACCGGATCACAAACCTCGTACGACATAGCTTCTTCGTCTTGCGGACAAGTCAGAATCTCCCTAACATGCAAACACAATATATGGCAAAATAACTTCCAGTTCCCAAGTCCAGACGATATCCTCAACTTCGCCCAACAGTTTTGCAATGCCGAAGGCTCCCAATTCTCGCTCATAAACCTTTTGACCGAATTCTGTGAGAGCTATCTTGAATCAAGATCAGTTTCCTCTAAAAAAAGACCCCGCTTTAACAGATCCACTTTGGATTGTATTAAAAAAGAGCATCCAGAAGGTCACCAAGGGAAAAGGGCTTCGAGCAGCAACAAAAGGGCCGTTCGGGAAATAGCCGACATAACGAACGGCACAGAGAAAATCAAGATTTCGCTATTGGATGAGACGGGCTGTGGGAATTTGCCACGATTTGTATACAGTCCTGAGAGTCTAACTTACGAGTCTGCGTATGTGCACATATCTTTGGCTCGTATTCCAGATGATGACTGTTGTAAGGAGTGTAATGGGGATTGTCTTTCATGCTCTATACCATGCCCATGTGCTCGTGATACGGGAGGAGAGTTCGCTTATACTCGGCAAGGCTTGCTGAGCGAGAAGTTTTTGAATTCCTGTATTGCTATCAAGTGTTCGGAGGAAAAGCAGCCTCTTTTCTACTGTCAGGATTGCCCTCTCGAGAGGGTGAAAAATGGGAGTACGCAAGAAGAATGCAAGGGGCATCGCTACAGAAAGTTTATTAAAGAATGCTGGAGAAAATGCGGATGCAACATGGAATGTGGCAATCGAGTTGTCCAGCGAGGTATAAGGAAGAAATTACAGGTTAGTGTAGGGAGAAAACTGTTTCTATATCGTTTTGGAATTTTTCTTTTATTATTATTATTATTTTTTTTTTTCCACATTTTCAAGAATTTCTATGCTCGTTTTAGTCTATTCGGTAAGTATGAAAGTAACCTTGCTTTTTGTTAATTTTCATTATTAACTTCAATCATGAGTTGGAATTTACTGGGTATGTTGTTGTTGTTGCATGAGTTGGAACTTGGAAAATGACAGCTTTATCTTTTAATCCGGATGAGCACAATGACTTGATTCCAAAGAATCTTTCAAAATATCTCTGCTTTGAAACGGAGGCAAAATAACATCTGCACAGAAACTAGTATACAATAAAAGAGCATGCATGTTTGTTGACCAAGGCTACAACAATAACAACAACAACATACCCAGTATATTCCCAACAGGTTGGGGTCTGGGGGGTCAGTTGTACGCAGACCTTACCCTTGTAATTATACAAGGAGGCTGTTTCCGTAGCGACCCAAGATGCATTGCGCCGTTTGATATATTTTTTTTTTTTTCTAGAAACTTCACTAATAGAAGAAGCACTAGAATTTAATTGAGCCATTTTGATCTAGTCCATTATTAGCACTATGCCAGGAGAATTGTCAACAATGACTCTTCCAGCTCCAGGAGAACAACAATTCTCCTGGCATTTGTTGACCAAGGCTATTCAAGTAATATATTTATTGAAAAATTATTATCAGATATCTAAGAACTGGCCATTAAGGTTTCAATTCACTTGTACAAAACCGAAGGAAGAAGATAGCATTTGGACAAAACTGAAAAAAGAAAATATCTTATCTAAGCCAAAAGCTACCAACCACTTTTTTTCAAAATGTTGTTACAACTTACAAGCAGTCCCTTCAATTTCACACTAGCCAATTGTGTTTTTAAATTTAATATTTACGTGACAGGTTTTCATGACCGAGGAAGGTAAAGGCTGGGGTCTGAGGACACTTGAAGAGCTTCCAAAAGGAGCTTTTGTTTGTGAATATGTAGGGGAGATTCTGACGAACATGGAATTGTATGAAAGGAATACAAAAAGTAGTGGTGATGATAATAGACACGTATACCCTGTTCTGCTCGATGCCGATTGGGCAACTGAAGGAGCTTTGAAGGATGAAGAGGCACTCTGTTTGGATGCAACGCATTTTGGTAATGTAGCTCGATTTGTCAATCATCGGTAAACTTCTATACTTGTAAACTTCTCAAAGATGGGAATCCTTATATTTATTACAGTGATTTTAATTAACTTGCGCATTTTTTGCTTCTTTTGATGATTACAGGTGTTTTGATGGGAACCTGATTGAAGTTCCAGTGCAGGTGGAGACTCCAGATAGGCATTATTATCATGTATGGGGATAAACGGCTTACTTATGGTTAATTAGAGTAAAGGTTCATGGAGTTTAGGCTAATTACAAATATATAAAATAAATTGAAAGAACCAACTATTTTCAAAGTTACAAATACACCTCCCTTCATCTTTTTGTTCAGAACTAAAAATGGTGCTATTAATAGGAATTTTTTGTTGAGAAAACTGTAGTCTTGAGACGGAGTTTGATATATGTTAGAGATGAATTTGTAAATATGAAAAAGGCTTGTGTTTTTCTCAAATTATACTTGCTCTCTTTTCTTATTATCAGTACATTGTGTGTCATAGTAATGCAATACATGGAATGATCTTTATTCCTTTTTTCTCCTTAATGCAGCTAGCATTTTTCACTAAAAGGAAAGTGCTTGCTCTAGAAGAGCTTAATTGGGTAGGTTTATTCATCCCATCACTTCATATAAGATTATTATTAATGCAGCTTGCCATTATTATTAACAATCTCTCTTCTACTTCTTCGTCTATTTTTTTTTTTTTTTTTGCAGGACTATGAGATCGACTTTGAGGATGAGAGCCATCCGGTTAAGGCATTCAAGTGTCTGTGTGGGAGTCAATACTGTCGGGACAGAAGACGATGAGAAAAGATCAGAAGTTATCTGCATTTTGATGAACCAATTCTTGTTTTTAAATTAATGTTCAAGAAATCTTGTGTCATGATAACCATCATGTGGGGCTAATGTGATGAGCACATAACAGCTTCTGGCTTTCTTTGTTTTGCTCACCTGATATCACATAGAATTAGAACTGTTTTTACTTACTTTCATTCATGATGAATATAAAATTCTCTCATTGGTTAAATGGTTTCTATATCCTTGAATTGGAAATCTTTTTGCATTACCTAATTTTCTGGCATGTTGCAGCATTTGCTGTAATATAAGATTGAGTTCGACTGAAGTTGGTAGACAGTTCGTGTATGGACAGCATGATCAAATTAGGAAGAAGGAACAGTACTATAATTACAAATGCTATAAATTCGATAGTTTTTCTTTTTTGCCACGACAAACAACAAACATCTATAAACTCAAGAGAAACTCGAGAAAGTACAAATCGTGCAATCAAATGATTACAAGTTTGAACACCAACTTGGCCAAACGAGTAGCCAGATTAGTTTCAACTGGGGCCAAACAGCCTACTTCCTGGCTAAGTTCAAACTAGAAACTCAAGTAACATAATTGAAGAAGAACAATAAGAAAAGGAGTTAACTAAAAAATACACATTATTTGCCACCACATTGTACCCACTAGGAAAGGAAGTTATGTTCATAATTTTCTTCACCAAGTTTGCACTATCCATGCAACAACATATCTGCTCATGCTTTCTTTTCCTAATCAGAGCCCATCTGGTTGCCAAAAGGAGTGATTCCTCTTCAGTTCCTATAAAATCCATGACTGCAGACCATTTGCAAACGATAGCTCCCACTTTTTGAAGAGTGGGCACTGACAGTAACTATAGATCTACTATGTCTTCTGCTTTGATCCATTCTTTTTGAAAATTCCATAGATTTAGTCTTCCATAACCACCATAAAAGGTAGGTTAACTCAGTTATGCAATGGTCTTTCCTTGCAGTACAAATTGAATGCCATCAGTCTTTGAATGTAAACTGATCTTGATCCATTCCAGTCAATTTGGTTCCAATCAATTTTCAGCACAATGCAGATCTTTGACACCTGCAGGTGTTCTAGATCCTCTTTATCCTCTCCACAAAACTCACATCCCACATCCCCCTTCAGCCCTTTTTTTGCAAGTTGATTTCTAGTGCTCAGAAAACAAAACCAATCCCTCCACATGAAATTTTTAATCTTGTTTTTCACTTTCAATTTACAAGTTTCCCTCCACATTACTTTGATTTCTCTACCAGAGTTGCTAGATTCTCCTTTCCCTTGAGTTCTCATTACCTATGACATCAAGTATTCATACACAGCTTTAACAGAGAAATCACCTTTCTTGCTCAAGTGCCAAATCAGCTCTCTAAGCCCACATTGACTTAGGGGTATTTTCAAGATAACCTCTACAACAAAAGGAGAAAAAGTTTTATCAAATTAAGTCCTTATCCAATCTATTCTCTCATTTTTTGGAAAGTTCTCCTACTCTACTAAATCTTTCTCTATTTCTCAGAAAATAAGGAGAGGGTGTGAAAGAATGAATAGTAGGGATCCAAGGTGAATCCCATACACGAATGGCATTCCCATCCCTTTCTGAAACGTAACCCTCAATTTAAGAGATTTCTTAACCTCAATTTAAGAGTCTGAGCTCTTAGGTTTCACCTCTAACAATTTTCTGTCCAAAACTATCTACCCCTGAGAACCTTAGAACCAAGAGATTAGGTTGAGTTAAAAACCTCCACAACTGCTTGACGAGTAGGGCCTCACCCACTCTCCTTTGGTTTAGTAGATTGTCTTACCCAGTCTAATGGATTCTTTCCTCTCCTGATTCACTTTTACCCCACCAAAACCCAGCTACACTTCTACAAATATTCTTATAACTGAGAGCCTAAAGCAAGACACAGCTACACTTCTACAAATATTCTTATAACTGAGAGCCTAAAGCAAGACATAACATAATGGGAAATTTTCACGCATCCTACATGAAATTGAAAATTTTGCAAATCTACCATCCATTAACAAGTAATTGTGTCTCTACCTAATTGTCAAGATTTAATTATATTTAGGCCTAAAATTCAGTTGCCTAAAAAGTGGACTCCATCCACTTTCCGTTCTTATGATTTTCGCCATTTTCATAAAATAATAATAAAGGAAAAACATTGCCTTCATTGATATGGAATGAAAAACAGCCGTTTCCATAAAAAAAATAAAAAATCAACGGTTTCCTTAATTCGCACAGCTTGTACGNAAAATCAGTTGTTTCCTTAATTTGCGCAGTTTGTACGTTTTTTAATAGAGAGAAATAAAAACATGTCTGGTAATTTACGCAACCGTCAGGTGGTATATATCGCGTTTATGTTAGTATATATTCAGTATATGTTGTAACAAAAACAAGTAACTTTTATTTCCTATATAAAAAAATCTTCTAATATACTGAACATATACTCCCTATACACACAACATATACTGAACAGTGTACAAAAAAATCTTCTAATATACTGAACATATACTTGCTATATATACCACATATACTGCCTGTCTATACACGCAATATATACTGTACATATACCGTGATATACAATACATATACTCAAATCCAAAGTCCGCGAATTTCAACGTAATAACTGATCTACACACGGTCCAATACCCCTAAAAATTCGAAACAAAATTCAATTTTCCTGCAGCCAACCAATTATCTCTCCCGATCATGGCGACAACGCCGAAACCCTATTTAGGGGATGCTGGTGCAACTAAGAACGATGATGGTGACGAAGCCGCAGAGGAACGTGATCTTGATGTTGTTGCAGGATTTGTGGATCTGCCTTCCACGGGGGAGGGCCGAGGCGGGGGTGGTGAAGACGGTCGTAGGAGGCGAGGTTCATATTTTTCTCGAAAACAAGTTTCTTCTGAGTGAGTTTTGGTTGTGTTTTTTGGATGGATTTTACGAAGCCGGGAACTCGACCTTGATTGTGGTGTTTCGTCCTCTTCGTCCGAAGGTTTTTTTCGATTAATTGGGACTTTTGTCTTGGCCAAAGAATTTTGGGGAAAAGGAAGAGAAGTTTTTCTGCGTGCGACGGAAATGGTGAACTGGGACGGTGGGTAGTTTTTTGGGAGAGAGATGTGAGTATTTTCAAGATTTAGTTTGTCCGAAAAATCTGCAACTCACATTTAATTATTTCAATTCAATTCAATTTGCCCCACTATTCACCTATAACAATTACACAGTTGTTTAGGTATAATTATAATATTTTTGTCTTGGTTTAGTGATATTATAAATAAGAGTATTATAGGTGTTTAATTGTCGACACCCATCAAAGGGGTCGTTCCCCACCCCGGAAGTTATATCGGGATGTAAGGAGTGCAAATTCCTCTAACATAATTGGGTAGAACCTGAGCCCATTTTATGTATAGAAAATGTAATATTAATAGTCTTAAAAAGAACCATAAATATCTAGTATATTTATGGTTATTTCAAACTTATTTGTTTTTGGATTGAAAGTAAATTATAATATATCTTAGTCAAGTAGCAAAACATAAAAAATTGCCACATAAGATCATTATGCAGGTGACCCTGCCACTTTAGGCTCTGCAATTATATATAGAAGTGGGTTCAGTTCGGTAACCGAACCGATAAGGGATTACCGATACCGAATCAAAAGTTTTGGTAACAATAAAATGTAAACCGAAACCGAAAATTCGGTTCGGTTTCGGTTTTATACCAAAATTATCGAAACATGAAATAGATTAACAACATAAACAGGTAAAGCAATAATGAACACCTCCAAATGTCAAAGCCCATCATCACTGCACAATTAAAGATCATATCTTTGAGCTAAAACAACATTAATTTTTAAAAAAATAGAGAAAGAAAAGGGAAATATAGCACTTGAAATGAATTAAAAGCCCCAAGAGGAAGCAGATGAATGCAGATACACCTCAAATTTGTCATAAAAGCTGCAAAAAAATCTATTTGGTGACAGCACTAATAATTNGAGAAGAAGGAAGAAAGTGTGGAACAACAAATAAAATCTAGGTTAGTTAAGAATAGCCATCCCCGATATAATCTGTCACGAATATTTTTCTTCAACTCCAGCAGACGGAGTTTGAAAATTGTGACCAGGGATGGACTGAGAGGGTATTATAGAGGGTGAGTAGGTGAAGGTCTTTATTTTATTTAACTTATTTTTTTTTTATTTTTATTTTTTCTTTTATCGGTTCAGTTTGGTTATTACCGAACCCATATGTAGCAGTACCGATACCGAACCGATAAGCTTTCGGTAACCGATAGTCGGTTACCGATAACAATGAGTCGGTACGGTTAGGTTTATTTTCTCGTCGGTTCGGTTTCGGGTAATAAAATGCCAGCCCTAATTATATATACTAGTAAGATACACGTGTATTAAAAGGGTGTTTGTTAAGAAATTTATATTTAAAATAAAAAATAATAATAATTTTTTTTTTTTAATTTTCAAATACTTTTTTAAATAACTACATTACTATTTATATTTAAAATAGTAGGCATTACTTATATGCTTATCATCTTATATTATAATATTTTTTAGTTATATCATTTAATAGGTAATTTATTTTTTTATAAGGATAAGTATAATTATTTATATATTTTGTATGTACAATATAGATGTCAAATCGAAACTCGTCAAGACATGATTATTTTGATATATTATAAAGACTTAATAATAAATAAAAAAATATTAATTTTTAAATCTACTTATAATTTAAATTGCTAATTTTTTCATAATTTTAGAAGAAAGATGAGGAAAAAAAGAGATTGAAAAAAAAAATATGTTTTATAAATCACGACTACAATAAAAAATATAGTATTAATACTCTTAAAAATGACCATAAATATCTAATATATTTATGGATAATTATTTTTAAATTTTGGCCCGTTTGGTGATGCAATGCCCAAAGAGCCCTGATCCGTTATTGTCAACAGTACTTTTTGACCCCGCTACGCATCTGTATATTTTAGTAGAGGTTTTCTCAAAACAACAGTAAGATTTAAGATCTCCTAACGACTCTTGCAGGCCGATGTTGTTCAGAGAGATGTTAGGTGCCGCTTGAAAAGGAGGAAATGTTTTTTGCGTAATCAGTACGGAATTTGTGCAGATTTTTCCGTTTACAGGTTTTTTTTTTAATTAATGGAACAGTCTTTTTTTTTTTTTTCGTCCAGCAGATAACGTGTTGAATTAGTGCTTCTTCTTCTTCGTTTTTCCTTTTCTTTAGTTATTTAATGTGTTATGTTGAGGATGGAGGTACAATGTAGTGGGCTTCTCATAGATTTTAACTTCTCTTACATAGTTTTTTTCGACGGCCATACTTCTTCAATTGGGCGTTTGAATGATGATGTGTAATTCCTTTTTTCTTTTCCCCTCTTAAATCCTTAAGGAGCATTGAATATTGGTTTGGGTTTATAACGACGTAGTTTTCTTACTCTTTGAATATTTAGTCAGTCCGACTGGGGTTTTTGGTTCTGAAAGAAAAAAAAACCGAAGCTTTGAGCTTTTCTGTAGATCTTTTTAATCTGGCGCTGTTCCAGAATTTCAAGGAAAATTTGATGGGCATTCAGCAGAATATATAGATCTGTTTATAAAACAATGTTTTTTATTGGTCAGAGAAAGTTATTATTTGTAATTTAAGACACACACTGGGAATTATCTGAAGAAAGGTGCTCATAGTGTTCTAATATGCCTTCTTTTCCTCTCAATTTAATAGAAAGTAAATTATTTTCTCATTAACTCACTACTTCCCTTTTTTCTCTTCTTCAGCATTCTTGTAAGGAATGGGGAAAAAAGGGCGATGGTTGTCAGCCGTGAAAAGGGTCTTCAGCTGCGAATCGAACGAAAACAGAAGAAAGGTATTGTGTTACTAATTTCCACCATTTTTTTTCACATTCCCCCTTCTACATGTCGTGTGGAAACAAAAAATGTCTATTTGTTTTTATCTTATTCTTTTATTTTATCCTAGCACAAGAGGAGCATAGATTTAGCTTCTTCAAGTCCAGATAATGCGGCCCCAAATCATTCTCCAAGAGAGGAGGTGAAGTTGAATGAGGCAGAGCTCGAACAGAACAGACATGCTTATTCCGTTGCCATAGCCACAGCCGCTGCTGCCGAGGCGGCGGCAGCCGCTGCTAATGCCGCTGCCGAGGTTGTTCGTCTCACGGCTGCCGCTCATCATTTAGGCAAATCGAAGGAGGAGATTGCTGCTATCAAGATTCAGACAGCTTTCCGGGGATATTTGGTAAGGGTTATTTATATCTCAGTAATAATCTGAGGAGTGGAGTCTGATTCTTTTTATTTTGTCAACAAATGCATTTGTCGGAGATCGTCAATAATGAAGATTTGATGCTTTTTATGAACAAAACATGTATTTTGCAAAATGCTATATAATTATCATGTGTTTTTCGAGAGTTTTTTGTTTGGAGTGGTGCCTTTTCGCTAGTGTCTCTTCCTTCTTTTCTGGATTCAGGGTGTAAATGCGAACAA